TCTGCCAAAAGACACTCTCGACCTGGTGGGGAAATGGAGAGCTCAATACCAAAATGCCCAAACGGATCTCACCGAGTGAATTTTGCGGGCCGACCTCGATGAGTTCCCCACCCGAGCTTCCGAATCCTCGGGACAGCGATATAAGATGAAATACTCTATTATTAATCGTTATCACTTGGGAATTTGATTGGAGCTGACCTCGCCATTATTTATCTGGTCCACCTTGCCAGTCTTGGCGTTTTTGAACACGATGTTCTGGTCGGTGAGCTTCAACTTTCCCGGGGCCATAGCGCCTCGATCCTCTTTCCAAACATCGCCGTATTCGAATATGGAGTTCACCATCTGAAAAATCGGGAGTTCTGATAAAGCGTGGCAGGAAGCGCTTCCCCTTTCCGCTGATCCTCGAGCCTCGGCGCTAGAAGCCGTCACAACTTTCACAATCCTCGCAGAATAATCAGGACAGAGGGGGAACCACCGACTACTCGCAACTCAGAAGCAATATCTGAGCATGGCCGGCATGCGTTTGAGCGCAAAAAATTTCACTGATCGGCTTCGGGGGAGCTCAACAGCTTCGAGTAGACATGTCTCCGATATGACACTTACGTTGGCGCTTTGAACAACTACTGAAGGTAGCCGGCGGAAGGGACTCACTGTTGGGGATTTCCCAACACTCACTACCGTCCTTGAACTATCAGAGGACTCTTCTTTTCGGTAGGCTAGGCGGAACCGTAGTGCGGATGATGCTTCGAGTGGCTGATGTACTGTTGTGTTTGTCTGAGCCGCCGTCAGCGCGCGCCTGTAGCAGACGCCGCGTCTCCGCTCTCATAGATCACCGCCTCCAATACTCCGGGAATTTCGAAGTCGCGCGGCATCGAGTGACTCAAAGAGAGAAGTCTTCGGACCTTCAAGTCGCTTGTGTTGCAAGTTGCGAGGTTCAGCTTGTGTCCGAATCGGATGTGATAATCAGGGAATATGAAAGCTTGTACTGGCACACAAGATTGCTTAGTGAGATAGGGTCGAAGGCAGTAGGGTCGTCTCCGCTGTCGCTCAGCGTCACCAAGGCGAATCTGAAGCTCAGCCACCACACTCGTGAAGAATCGAAGAAGCACTCGGGTAGAGTTTCGACAAGACAGTGTGTTTATTGATTGAGAGGTTGTTTCTTGTACTATTGTCTGTGAGAAAGGGAAGCCTATGTTGAGGCGCCGATCCGGCACCCCTTCTACTTGATTGATGAGCACACCCCCGTATACTATGGGTCCTGTCAAGTATTACTCTATGGAAAGCGAGATGCGCCCCGTTCGGGACGCCACCTGGTGACACCGAATAAACGGAACTGTCGGTGCAGTGCGCGCACATAGTCGTCGGAAACGATCGGATCGTCATGATTATCTGATCACTGATCAGCCCTCTTCGAGTGATAAAACGTTAGACTGTCCCCTTCTCCCCACGAATCTTGCGTCCTCAACATGGTGCCGTGACCGGGATTCTCAGAGACCGGGACTTCCGTCACAGAACAAGAATCCAAGAAGACTACGCACAAGTCCGGACTCAACCGAGGAGACCTCGAAATAACAGGTATCCTGCATACAATCCGGACTCATAAGTCCTCACACCGACCATCACCGAATGCTATCACGTGCGCGGGCGCACCAAAACTGTCTGCTCTCCGCATCTTCATAGACGATGGAAATATCCTTCGAGTGAGAACACGCCTAGCTCAGGCGACCTTCCTCAACTACGAGGAAAGAAACCCCATCGTGCTCCTGGGGGAGTCCAGGCTAGCAAGAATGCTCATCGTCGACACACACCGCATCAACGCGCACTTTGGCGTCACTACGGTGCTCTCTCGACTTCGCAAGCGATATTGGATCACGCGTGGCCGACAGGTTATCCGCTCGATCATCTCGCGGTGCGTAATCTGCAAACGAAGACAGGGAACTCCCCGCGGTCAACTGGAGGCGCCATTGCCGATTGAGCGCGCCCAGTTTCACGCGCCATTCACTACGACCGGGCTCGATTTCTGCGGTCACTTTTAGACTCGTTCCCGTGAGAGCGATATCAAGAACGGCTCCTACGTGATTCAAAAGACCTACGTGGCGATATTCGTCTGTACCTCGACGAGGGCTGTTCATCTCGAAGCTGTTCTCGCACTGTCCGCGCCCCAGACCAACATGGCGCTTCGACGCTTCCTCGCCACTTATCCAGCGTGTCAGGGCTTTTTGAGTGACAATGGAACCAATCTCGTCAAGGCTTCCACAGATCTCAAACGGCTCTTCAACACGATGAAGAATCCCGAGGTCAGAGATCTCCTACAAGGCAGGAGCATCACCTGGAAGTTCGCGCCGCCCAGAGCGCCGCACTTTTCGGGACACACGGAGCGATTGGTCGGAGCGTTCAAGTCTTGTCTGCAACGTACGCTAGGCAGATCGCTCGTAGGGTTCGAGGAGTTTCGGACTATTATTAATGAGCTCGCGGCTGTGATCAATGACCGACCACTCGTAGGGTCAGGTTCCGGGGACGACTCACCCCTCGCACTCACGCCGGCGATGTTCCTCAAGGGAGGACCTCAGCCCTCCCCGCTCGCGGGCAAGGAAGCTCACGGTCGCGGGTCCAGGACGCCGGGTCTCGCAGGCGAGAATGAACATGAATTCATGAGGATATCGCCTCGACCCCGACCAAGTGGTCGGGCAAGCCTTCCTTGCAGGATTATGAGGGAAGACCGCGTGAAATTGTTAATTGAATGAGGGAAGACTACTCTCCACGACCCAAAAGTTACTACGATCGTGGTAGAGCAGCGGCTTCAATTATTTGGGGACGAGAAGGGCACGAGAGTGACTCTTGAACCAACGATGAGCGGTCTAGGATCAGGATCCTCTAAACGAGGGCTTCGGACTTCGGAATATTTGATTTCAGACTGATAACCGATGAAGATAGACATCCGGCTTGCTAGTACCCCTCTGGATTTTCTCAGTCGTGATCGAGAAACCTGACATGAGTCATTACTCATTACTAGAGTGCGTATGTTCATCCATGAGTCATGAGTCATTACTCATTACTAGAGTGCGTATGTTCATGCAAAATGCATTTTTTGCATGAGAAAGCATAATTTGCCCATTTTTGCCAGGAAATGCATAATTAGGGCGTTCAAGCATGAACTCGCATGTTTCCCACAGTTCCTGACTGACGTTCGATCCATTCATCGAATCGATGAAAATCACGACGTCTTGGCAACTTCCCAGACTATTCCGAATAAGCGCGGCGGCAACCATCCGCGTGAGTTGCCTCGAACGATCCAAATGACTTTGCGATACCAGGCATTCTCTTGTCATCGGCGACGGAATCTCTCGCGAGCTTCCCAGGGGTTGGCTGGGTCTTACTCTGCCGAGTCTGTGAAAAAGAAGTTTCGGCCGAGAAAAGATCTCTTGTAACTCAGCATCTGAACGGTATGAAGCACAGAGCTTCATCCAGTAAGAAGTTGCTCGCGAGGACGTCGAACGTAGTGCGAATCGAACCCTTCCTGGTGGCCTCCGGAAAGAGCTCGCAATTCGAACTCGAATTAAGCGAAGCGTTAATGTCAGCTGGTATACCTCTACGGAAACTCGACAACCATAAATTGAGGAGATTTCTGGAGAACCATTCGAATAAGCCTATCCCGTCTTCGAGTACATCGCGGCTGAATTATGTGACGAAAATATACGATCGAAAAATTGACTCTATTAGAAAGATTGTGGACGAGGAACCAATATGGATCTCTATTGACGAAAGTACAGATGTGACGGGCCGCTTTGTCGCCCACGTTATCATCGGGACCCTGGAGAACATTGAGAGCACCAGCTTCCTCTTGAACGCGGAAAATTTGGAGGCGACAAACCACTCGACGATCGCCCAAGTTATCACAAAGTCACTAGCTCTACCCTGGCCCGACGGAATCCGATATGAGAAAGTCCTCTTGTTCGTTTCCGACGGAGCATCGTATATGAAGAAAGCAGGCTGTGCGCTCAAGGTTCTCTTCCCGAGGTTGATCCACGTTACATGCTTAGCTCATGCCCTCCACCGGGTGGCGGAGGAGGTGAGGTTGCTTTTCCCGGAAGTAGATGAGCTCATTGCTAATGGGAAGCGCGTGTTTCTGAAATCAGCCGCCCGCGTTACCAAATTCCGCGAAACCGTTCCCGGAGTACCTCTGCCGCCCCAACCGGTGCTCACTCGTTGGGGAACTTGGCTCGAGGCAGTAGTCTGGAAAGTTTATTTAGGGGATAAGGCTGATACGAGAGAGTGGCTACTGGGTTCTGTGTTGCCAATGGGATCGGAGTGCCTAATCGATAATAAAGAGTCGTGGGGCACCGGCCCGGGTGCGTAGAGCAAGATCCGTGTCGTCAACGCCTGGCTGGTACAAGCGATAAGCTTCATCGTAAGCTGGTGTTTCCGAGAATCTAGTCTACCACAGACGCTCGTGACGCTGAGCCTTCATGTGACCGCAGAGCACGAGCTACAAATTGATCGCGATTATCCCTTCGAGCAGTCTCTCCTGGGGGCCCCGTGACTTCTTCCCTTATGTCCCGACGGATTCCCGGAATCAGTAGCTATTAGATTGGCTGATCGCCCAAGCTGCTTTCCTCTCATAGAGACTACTAGATGAAGGGACCCGCAGCTCATGCCGATAGGGATTCGATTCCTCGGATTTATTTTCTCTTTCGGAATGATTCCGGTTCATCGAACCTAACACGATGTGGTACTATGCTGTGTGGAGCCCACGTTATCTTCATCTCAGAATACGAGATTTTAGGGAGTCTACGGTGCTTTTCCCCCGCGAATCGATTCTCCCGAGTTAGAGGAAGAAGATGAATCGTGATCCGAGTCGAACTCTTCCCCGACGTCGGATCCCCCCGAAGCCTGCAATATAAGCTCAGTGTCATACTCCCCGTGAGTTCTCGGAGAGCTCCAGGATTCTCGCGTAGGCTCGATAAGTTTACAACCGGGGTGCTCCGAGGGACCTACCTTGTCGGGGTTGAAGTCGTCATCGCTTTCGTCTTCATCATCGTCATCGTCGTCATCCTCTCGTTTCTTTGCCTTGCTTCCCACCCTGTGCAAGCAGGCGTCTGGACCGGAATCGGCTTCTTGGTCCGAATCGCACATGACCTCGTTGGCGAAGGTTTCTTCGGCTCCACGCTGTTTGTTGCCGATCTTGAGCTTCTTGCTCTTGGCAAACTCGTGCAGTCGATCGTATTCGTCTTTCTCAATCGACGAGAATACATGAGTTATCCGATTCCGCAAGTGTACTTCGATATCAAAGGATCGGGTCGAACCGCCCGACCGAGCGAAATTAACTGACGAGATCTCCTCGAATCGGATATGAACTGGAGGTTTGTGGACGTACATGAAGCCCTTTTCAAGCGGGTACAGTAATCCATAGGACGATTTGTAAGTGCACGTGATAGCCGGTGTGCCATTCATGCTCTTGTAGTTTCCAGGCGTTGTGATCTTCCGCTGGACCACAGCCTTGACGATTCGACTGAGGGTCTCAAAAACGGGTCCACTCATCTCCTTTTCGAGTTTGCCATCATACTTCTCCTTGAGATCGCCAGCGCTCATAGAAAGTGTTATATCTTCTTCGTCCTCTTTGTTGAACATCAATATCAAGAAGTGGTATCTTGTTTGACCTTGCTTTATCGGGGGATCGAGACTGAGAACAAAGTGCATCCGACGTCCATCCTTGTGAGGGAGAAGAAAAATACGGAGTATCGTGCTGACAGGTATTTTGTAATCGAAGGTTTTTCCATGGAGCTGGATGAAAGTCGTGAATATCTTGATGTCGTAGCGACCTGGAAGTGCGAAAGGGACCTATAGCGGCGCGAAATGAATCTCCAGAGGGTAGATATGAATCGATCCTCGATCGCCGTCCTCACCTCTCGGCGTGAGGCACTGAACGCCATTGAAGTTGGCAATCGCGTCTCCCGTAGCTTGTGTGATGCCAGCCCTCGACATGACGTTAGCTTTGAAGGCCTCGACGGCATCGACGTCTGGATTCGGATCCGTAGGGACGTAAAACCGCATCTCCATCATGCACGAGGGAGCGTCATCGTTCGGTTGGAACTCGAGAGTGACTTCATTCTTGCTCGTCGAACAATTTGACACGTACGCCAGCGGAATCTGCGCGAAGTTCCGAGAAAGAGTCAGAATATCGGCTGGTTCCGATTCTGAAAACAAAGCTTGCGGGATAGGAGGATCACTTACCTCGAAAGCTGGTACTTTGTCGATATCGAAGGACAATACTACCGGATCGAAGTTAACTGTGCCCCAGTTTCGACCCGTTAGAGAGAATTCCTTAGTCTTCATATCCAAATTATAAAACTCCTATAGGAGAAGGATGAATTAGTCAGCTCATGAATCTCAGAAGCCCAAAGTACTCGGCGGTATTTTCTCAGCCGTGAGGACGGCATACGTTCAAGCTTCTTCGTTGGGGAATCAGCC